ACACACACACACACACACACACACACACACACACACACACACACACACACAAATGTATACGCATGTTGAAGCAAGCACACACAACAATAATATATCATTTCTCTCTTTTTTCTCTCTCTCTCAACAACACCAACATCAATAATAACAATAGCAGGAGTAATAACGACAACAATAACAAGAGGAGCGTCGACTACAACAACAACAGTTGCAGGAGTAACAACAACAACAACAACAACAACAACAAAAACAACAACAACAGTTGCAGGAGTAACAACAACAACAACAACAACAACAACAACAACAACAACAACGACGACAACAACAACGACGACAACAGCAACAATAACTAGTTTCAGGAGCAACAACGCCAACAACAAAAACAACAGCAACAGCACCAAAGACTCACATCATCCACTTCAGGTATGGCAATCCTCTCGTTGAAGTACGTAGACGCTGCCGTGTTCATCCCTTTGCTGGGTGAGCTGCCGTTCTCTTGCTTCTCCGGGGCCGCACCTTTGCTGGGCGCCACCTCCTGCACGTCTTGGGACACCTCCAGCATGGACATAGACCCACCGCTGAACGACGGGCTGTCTGATGAGAAAAGACAGCAGAAAATTCAACACAAATGTCTAAATATTAGAGGGATTACTTCTCCTATATGTAGGGCAATGCCCACTTTTGATGCAGGTCAAGATTTCCGGAAACCCTCAAAATCTGGGTTAGCCCGCTTGTCCTTAAAAGCCACCAATTAGAGTTAGGGAAAAGCAAGTCGGACAGGCAAAAACAACAGAAGGCAGTGAAAGGGAAGAAGTAGGATCTACCAGTGGCGCCCTCCAATCGCTCACCTTCTTAACCCAAGACAATTTGCCAAACCCTTAAACTACTGACGCCACTAGAGCTTTCTTCTTTTTTTTTTGTTTCTTTTTTTTTCATAGTAGAAGGTTTAAGGCGCTCGCAACTGCATAAGGTCATATGAGCGCCAAGGGGTGGATGTCAACAGAGAAGTCCTTACAGGGAATCAGACTTACTCTGCTCACCTCTCTAGCTTCAACAGCCCAAGGTCTGCTTCGACTATCAAGGCACCCCAGAAATAGCGGGTCACAAGAGTGACAAACATAGAAAAGAAGTAGAGGAAAATGACACTAGCAAGGATTAGGAAAGAAAAAGCAACAGTTCCCTGCTGTCGATCAGGCACAGTTATGAGCGTGACATGATGAATCAGCCCATTTACAATTCTACTGTGATTGACCGAGAAATGCCCCCCCCCCCCCCTTGGGAATGGCCTAAAGACACTTCAGTCAGTGGCACCACCCCGGGGGGTGGAGCTTTCCTTCCTGTCCACAAACTTCTATAATAATTATTATTATGATATGGATAAATAGTATATCCCCACTCAACAGCAAGCTCTATACGCTTTACAACTGTATTACATTAATTCCTTCCACCAACATTTCCTGTTCACCAACAATAAACCTTGACAAAGAGAACAAAGGCGGTCTTCACACGACCGAGTGCCTTTCCAAAGAAAGAACGGAAATAAAAGAGAATATACACGCTGTAACAAAAAGATTAGTGGGAAAAAACCCACTCCATAATTGACTCTAGAACCCCCCCCCCCTTCCTTTCTACACACAAACACACACACACACACACACTCACACATACACACACACACACACACACATACACACACACACACACACACACACACACACACACACACACACACACACACACATACACACAACATTTCATCATATAATATAAATACGTTAACACATTAACACACTCCTTTATGAGTTCACACACATGCACAAACGCCGCAAGAATATAAATGCTATGAAGTAGACAACTGCACGTAGTATATTGATCGGAAACACGAAGGTATTAACACACCATACTGTGGGAAAGCATAATTGGTCGCTTATGAACACAAGGGGGCTATTCCCGAAAAATGCTGTTTTAAGAAAATCGACGGTAAAGTTTTTGCTCCTTGTTCAGTTTCTTTGAAAGTCAGGGAGAGTTTTCTCTATAACCAAACTAATATACACAGCAATGAAATCAAACTTCTCCTATAGGTAGGGCAATGACCACTTTTGGTGTAGGTCAAGATTTCTGGAAATCCCCAAAATATGCGTTAGCCCGCTTGTCCTTAATTAAAAGCGACCGGGAATTTTATCAATGTGCTGTGGCTATGCATGAATAATATAGCCCTCAGAATAAGAACGCACAACACACATCAATAATACAAGGGGAGAATGTTCGTGTGTAGCAATAACAGTATCACCGTGTACGTATCACTGGGTTCCCTTTACTTCATAGAACACAAGCAGAACATCTGATATTTCCATTGGCCTCCAAAGCAAAATTGTATTCTCCACCAAAGTAGAATTATATTATGTTTCAAAAACAACAACAGGCTTTTTGCCAATATCCTTACGAAAAGTAATATGGTGTTTTCCGCTTTCAACAGCTCTACGCCAAAACCCATTGCAGCACAGTTAGCATGATAATGATAATGATAATAATAATATGTAAATCTATTTTATGAGTATAAATGGCATGCAAAACCGAGGACGGCTACTGGTAATTACTTCGAAACGTGTGTGCGTGTGTGTGTGTGTGTGTGTGTGTGTGTGTGTGTGTGTGTGTGTGTGTGTGTGTGTGTGTGTGTGTGTGTGTGTGTGTGTGTGTGTGTGTGTGTGTGTGTCTTTTGTCTCTAGGGGGGGGTGAGAGGTTGTGACATTGTGAATACTCTAGATACGTGGAACATTGGTTAGAAACAAAAATATCACATAAAGCTTTTCAGGAGCAAAAGACTTGTCACACAGAGACATAACAGGGTGTACAGTCTTTTTCTCTAGGGTTCTACGATACCTTTCCCTCGCGGCTATTTTTCACCTCTTCCTTCACCGCAAAACCCAAACCTTG